GAGAGACAGAGAGCATGAGAGGGAGGAGGGTCAGAGGGAGAAGCAGACTCCCTGCCGAGCAGGGAGCCCGATGCGGGACTCGATCCTGGGACTCCCAAGATCATGACCTGAGCCGAAGGCAGTCGCTTAACCAACTGAGCCACCCAGGCGCCCGGGGCATTATTTTCAAAATCTGTGTGTTTAGCCACAGGTGTGACAGTAAGTGATGTCTCGTGTCTTTGGGAAGCTCTCCAGTCCCTTGTCCCTCTTTCGTGAGCCCCTTTCCCCTTCTTCTCCATCCTGCTTTCCCCCAATACCAGACCTCCCCAACTCCAGCGCCCGCAGGTAGCAGACAGCCAACGTAAGTGTGTGAGCGGGGCCAGGAGGGCACTCAGAAACCGGAGGACACACGTGCTCTGTTCCTGACACTTGTCGCCACACAGGCGAAGGGCCCAAACTTCCCAGATCGCCTTACTTCCAATGAGAATATCTCTAACGAGGCTCTAGATCAGGTCCATACATTGCAGGGTGGTATGTTAGATCTCTCTTCCTTAGCCTGTGATTTGGCCACCATCTCTCTAACTTGTTTTTTTCTTTGCAGTGCACTTTTGGGGAAGCTAGGTCATGCATCTGATCGAGTTTCCCACAGCCTGGATTTGGCTGATTACATCCCCATGGTGCCATTTAACATGTTCTTCCAGCCTTCATATGTCCTGTGAATTGTTAGTTGAAACCACAGCAGTGGTTCTCCCCCTAACTGCACATTAGAATTACTAGTGATATGATACCCATGTCCAGACCCTGCCCAGACCAACCCAGTTGGAACTTACCGGAGTAGGGTCCGGGCATCCATGAGCCAGAGTTGAGAACCACTGCCCTACTAAAGGCTTCCTCAGACCCAGGCTCAAAATTTTCTCAAGAACGCTTCAGAGAATTGGTTTATAGTTTGGGTCTTTCTTTCAAGAGCCACATAGGATCTGATGAGCCCATTCTCTGCAATGTTAGCAGCCATGGATAAGCAGTGCCTGAAGCTACTAATTCATTTGGGGTTGCAAACTGGTGGTATTTGGAAGTGTAAAACCTCTGCCCACATCAATTCACAGACTTGGAACTCAGGGCATTTATGACCTCTGAACTCAGACATCTTCCTGAGGTGTGGGATGGAAAAGCCCTGGTCCTGACAGCTTCCCACATTCCAGGGTGTGGGTGCCTGGCCTCCTGGGGACAGAGGGATGAAGGGCTGGGAACCAGCTGGGAGGACAATGCTGGTCCAGGGCGTGAGTCGTCCTGCTTCCTGACAACTTAAAGCATCCTTGAAGAGCCAGTCAATTCCTGGCTTTTGTCCTGGCTTTTGAAGATTTATTTAAGAGAAAGAGAGAGCAGGGAGGAGGGGCCGAGGGGGGAAGGAGAGGAAGAGGGCAAGGATCCCAAGTAGACTCTGTGCTGAGGTCAGAGCCCAACTCGGGGCTCGATCTCACAACCCATGAGATCATGACCTGAGCCAAAACCAGGAGTCGGATGCTCAACCAGCTGAGCCACCCAGGCGCCCCTGTCTTGGCTTTCGTATTTAAGGGGAGAGGTCTGTGGATTTGGAGTCTCTGGCTGGCGATGGTGTCAGTTTCTCGTAGGACTTGGTGGATCTGGTGCTGGTCTTTGGGACTGAGGTGCTGCTGGGGCTACAGTAACCTTAGGATGGTGGCTGGGGCTCCATCTCAGAAAGAACAAAACCTTCCCAAGTCAGAAGCCATAAGCCTCGAAAATGACCATGAGCAACAAATACAGAAGCCTCTGCGCCCCTCGGCGCTGGGGCGTTGGGCATGTTCTGACGCTGCCAGAGCTTTCTGAAAAGCCTCCCTCTTCCTTCATTCTTGCTTCCTGGAGCATGTACTGTCTCTCTGAGGGGCAGGGGAGATTAACATCCCATCAGACTCTCCGGCGCAGAAATCTTTGGTCTTCTCCAATGATCGCTTGTTGCTTTAACAAAGCATAAACACGTAAAGGTCCCTGAACACGTTTAAGTTTTCTGTGGGCAGTACCTTCATGGTCCTCGGGCTCACAGCACTCAGGCTGTCATGTAACCGTGACAGCCTATTACAGCTTCCACCCCAGGCGACCATGTGCACTGTCGTGTGGGCACCTAGCAGTGTGTGGCCCTTGTGGGCGTACATACATCATGGGCGTACTCTGCCTTCACACGCATGCCATCAGCTGAGTCTGGGGCTGATGCCGGGGACGGACGAGGCCTAGAGTGGGGCTGTTTCCAAGGAAAGTAAGTTTTCCTTCCATGTCTAGGGAAATTTGGAATCAGGCTTTGAAAATGAATCGGAGATCATCCTATTGTTTTCTCGCATTCTGCTCTTTTTCTCATGTGGCTCTGTCTCAGGGACAAGGATGCTCTCTGGCAGAAGTCAGATGCCCTGGAATTCCAACAGAAGCTCAGTGCTGAGGAGAGGTGGCTCGGGGACCCGGAGGCGAGCCACTGTCACGACTGCAAGCGAGAGTTCAGCTGGATGGTGCGGCGACACCACTGCAGGTCAGCGGGTGGGAGCCAGCACCGGAGCGAAGGTGCTGAACCGGGCTGTCTGTCTGGGAAGAGCACATTGTCACTTGGTCCTAAGGGGGCCAGGCGAGGGGGTGTATCAGGCAGGGTCCTAGCAGGACGTGCAGGGATCCCTGAAGGGGAAGAGGGTTTGATACAGGGGTATGGGCAGGGTCAGGGGGACCCACAGGGCTGTGGAGCACCCAGAGACCAGCAACCCTTGGCCTCCCTCAGCCCGCAGGGACCAGAGGGGAAGCGGCATTACTGAAGCCGAGGGAGAGCGGGGGCGGAGGCTTGGCTGGGGGAACGTGGACTCGCCTAGGGCCCAAAGAAGGGTAGGCAAAATAAATCTCGCTTGGGGCCAAGGCAGATGGAATATCGTCAGCACAGGCCCAGGTGGGTCTCTGGTCCCTTAGAGCCTCAGCCCCTGAGGCATGGAATGTATCCCTGTGTTGTTGGGGCAGAGAAGGTGGACTCAGCCACATACTTTATCCCCCTGCCTCCCAGGACCTTGGGAAATAAAACCTTTTCTCCCAGTGGAGAAAATCTTACAGATTGACCATAAGGCCACACTCCTCAGAGGGGGCAGAGCCAAGTCTGAAGAGAGCCACGTGGCATCTAGAGCCCAGTGCAGATCCCAAGACTCGCGGTGCATCACCCTCACGGCCCGTGCTCGTTTCACCCCAGGGTCTGTGGCCGCGTCTTCTGTTACTACTGCTGCAACAACTACGTCCTGAAGCGCAGCGGCAAGAAGGAGCGCTGCTGCCGAGCCTGCTTCCAGAAGTTCAGCGATGGCCCTGCATCGCCTGACAGCGCCAGCTCTGGCACCAGCCAGGGGGAGCCCAGCCCTGCACTGTCGCCAGCCCACGCTGGGCCCCAGGCTGCCAGAGGCCAAGGTCGGGCTCCTGCTCCTGCCCTCTGTCTTCTTAGGTGCCACCCCCCCACCCCCCCCCCCACCACTACCCCAGTGTGGCTAGTTAGCTGTAATAGGCTGAATTCAAGGTTTTCTAAACTTAGGCGTTAAAGAGGTGCTAAAAGTGTATTGCACCAATTTGAGACTTTCTTTTTTGTGTAATTAGGCTTGAAAGAGAATTGAAAAGGGAATACCTTTCTCCTTGTATGATTCAGTGTTATTTAATGCGAGGTCTGTGTACCTCTTAACTTACATGCTATCAGTGGAATGTATCCCACACCTTGGGAAATACCGTCTCCAGAGCCTCAGCCCCCATACCTAACCCTTCTACCAGAGTAAACAAAGGCCAAAAGTTGTGTGTGGAAATGACCACATCCTTCACCTTCTCCCTGTGGCTCACATTGTCTCTCAGTGACCAAGGAGGATGTATTCTCCTCATCCTTTCACTCTGCTCAGTTAGAGGAAGTGGGATCTGGTTCCTGCTCTTCCTGCTCTAAGCCCAGTCCTGCAGAACAGGCCACGCTGTCCTCTCATGGACCAGACTGTGGATGTAGAATACCAGGGAGGCAGAGCTGAGATGCCAGGTCTTGTCTTTGCTCAAGCATCACCACCTTCTGCAGCCCGTCCCTATGAACTCTTCCTTGGCCTCTGCCTGGATGCAGTTCAGCCAGCCTTCAGAGATACCGTTAGTTCCACTTTTGTTTGACTGGATCATCAAGGAAGTTGGCAGGCCCTATTATTTATATTTGGTACAAAGAACTGCTCAGGGATGGTGGAATGTACTGGGCATAGCATTCCTGTATCTTCTTCAAACGCATTTAAAATTCTTTTTTTAATTCTTAAGTTTTGAGAGTCCTTTATATATTCGGGATAGAAGTTATTTATCACATACGTGTTTTACAAATACCTTTTTCCCAGCCAAAAACCTCTTTTCACTTTCTTTCAAAGAGCAAAAATTGTTCTTCAGAATGCAGAAGGTTTTAGTTTTGATGAAGTCCATTCCATTTTTTTCCCTTATGGATCAACTTTTTTTCTTTTCTTTTGGTTTCCTAATCTATCTTTGCTTAACCCAAAGACACAAAGATCTTCTCCTGTTTTCTTCTAAAAATTATATAGTTTAGGTCTATGATCCATTTTTAGTTAAATTTTTGTATATACTACAAGCTATGCATAGGGATTCATTTTTTTGCATATGGTTGTCCAGTTGTTCCAACACCATTGGTTGAAAATCTGTTCTTTTCTCATAGAATTGCCTTTGCACCTTTGTCAAAAATCAGTTGGGTCTGTGTCTGGAATTTCTGTCCTATTCCATTTATCCATGTGCCTTTCCTCTCATCAATACCACACTGTTGAGATCACCATGGTTTTCTAATGAGTCTTTAAATCAGGTAGAGCAGGTCATCTAATTTTGTTCTTTATCAAAGTGTTGGCTATTCTAGGCTTTTTTGCTTATCCATATAAACTTTAGAATTAACTTGTCAATTTCTATAAGAAATCCTGGTGAAATTTTGATTGGGATCACATTGAGTCTCTAGATCAAGTTGGGGAGAATTGACATGTTAACAAAATTGAGTCTTCCAATCCATGAACATGGTGTAGCTCTCCATTTAAGTCTTCTTTGATTTTTCTCCTGATGCTCATTGTCCCTTCCTTCCTTGTCCTTCCTTCCTTCCCTCTGTCAGCCTCAGAAGGCAGGTTCAGAAGCGTGGCTGGGCATATGGAAAGAAACCAGTCCTTGGTCCTGTTTTTCAGCCTGTGTCTCCAGCCCTCCATTATGCAGACCTCAGACAAGAGGAAGGATATTCCATCTAAAGCACGGCCTGTACCAGTAGCCCTGTGGCGGGGCCAGCTGGAAACTTGTAGCTCGCATGAACTGTTCTTGGTAAACCGTCCAGGAATCTCCCCTGCCCTGACTGGCAGGTGTTACAGCGAAGACAGAGGGTGGCACTGTGCCAGAGTACTGAGGTCACTTGTTTTGATTTCTGACATCTCCTGTCCCCTTGTCTGCCTGCATTTCTTTCTGTCTTTCCTTCTCTCTGCCTTTCTTTCACCTCAGGCCTACCATCACATTTTTTGTGACATAGGCAAGAGAGTACTTGCAGGTGGGTGACCGGCACAGGAGTGTCCACACAGCCTCCTTCCTCCCGAGTGGCCTGCAAAGTCAGACACCAGGCCCCTGGTCAGAAGCACAGTGGTTGCTGCCACCTTGAGCAGAGGGAGGTTCTTTCCCATCCCCCAGTGGATGGAGGTGAAAATGCAGGTCAGACAGAATCTTGCGTTCAAAAAGGCATGAATGTCGTATCTGTGTCTTAGGGAGCAAGACTCAGCAGCACAGAAGTGTGTTTACTCTTTTTTTAGGTTCCTGCCTGATAAGGATTTGACGGGGTTTTTTTTCTTCTTATAAATAAGAGGCCTCAGAGAATATGTAAGAACTTGAAATCTCTTTAAGGCCCAACTGAGGAACCACCAAGAGAAATCTTGTAGGTTGTGTGTGCAGTTTTACCTGTAGTCCCCGCTGCTTTCTGGAATGTCCTGGCAGCCATTTCTCTCGCACCCAGACAGAACAGCTGTAGGTCGAGTGGGCCCTGAGGGTGTGTCTTGGTGGCCCATCCCGCCCAGCGGCAGCCCGTCACTTCCCGGAGCGCCCTCCCTATCCTGCGCATCACTGTGTGTGTCTCTTCTCTCCCCATCTGCCTCCGTGGCCCGGGTGTAGACGCCGACTGCAGGCCGCCAGACGATGCCGTGTTTGACATCATCACAGATGAGGAGCTGTGCCAGATCCAGGAGTCCGGCTCCTCCTTGCCTGAAACACCCACTGAAACTGACTCCCTCGACCCGAACTTGCCCGAACAGTGAGTAGACCTTGCCTTCATTTCCTGCGTGCTCCCCCGAGTGCTGGGCCCTTGTGCCCTCTGAGTAAAGGACCAGGAAAGTGAGACTTTGGAAGCAGGATCGCCCGACTGTGTTTCAGGCAAAGTGCCTCAGAACAGTGCTCGGGACCGTTCCGGAGACTGGAAGGCCAAGGTCAGGGTGGTGGCAGGGTGGGCTTCTCTTGGTGCCTCTCTCCTCGGCTCACAGAGGGCCGCCCGCTCTCTGCCTCTTCACACCCTCGCCCGGCTTTGTGTGCGTGCCCTGGCGTCTCTGTGTCCTGACAGTCCTTTCGTCCTTACCCTCCGCTGGCCCGCTCATCTGTTTTCCAACAAGGTTTGTGAGGAATGAAATGACCACACAAAGTGCCACCACATTGGAACGTCGAGTCGACTTTGTTCCCCGGGGACCTGTAGGGACAGGCCACGCCCCTCCCCCCCCACCCCGCCCCCCACAGCAGCCTTGCTCAGCGTCTCTCAGCCCCTGGTGTTCGGGCCTAAATGCAGTTTCTATAGCAAAGCACCCGCTGTTCAAAAGCCAAGAAAGAATTTACCCACTTTCCCTCCAGTTGGGCAGTTCCGTGATACTCCTGCCAACACCCACATTGAGATCTCTGTCCCTCTCTTCCTGCCCAGAATTCAGGAGGGCTGGGATTAATCAGCGGGGTATCTGCTGTGTGGGAGGAGATATATTTAATCCTCATGAAGCTCTCAGGGCAGGAGAGTTTAGGCTTAAGTGTATCCCCCCACTCTCCCCTGTTCTCTGACGAGAGGGTGACTGAACTCCCATGTTGTGGCCTCACGGAGAGCGCCAGCACGATCACCCAGCCCGTCAGGCCCTGTGCACTGTTGCTTCCTCAGCTTTGGACCTTGCCTTTTCCTTCCTGGAACCCCCTGCCTCCCCTTCTGAAGCGCCCCCTGACCGCACAGCCTGCAGTGTTCTCCCGAGGGCCTGCTCTGTTCCAGCAGCACCGAGCCAGTCTGCCACCATCACCTGGCCACCGTACTCCCTGCTGGGTGGGTAGGTGGTGAGGGAAGCAGGGCTGGAGCCTCAGTGACCCCCTGCAGCTCTCTCTCTCCCTCACCCCTCACCTTCCCCTGTCCCAGTAAGAACAAAAACAGAAGGCACTCTGACCGCTGACAAATACCTGTGTTTTGGTCCTGGGAAATCAGGAAGTGTTCCAGGGAAAGGAAACTGCCAGCATGCTGGCCTGCGGCCTCCAGGGTGGATCCGGGCCTGGCGGATGGGAGCCCGCAGTCCCTGCACTCCGTCTGTTGGGGGAGGAGCCCGCCGTCACAGTCAGCTAAGGGCCTGCGCCCTCACACACCATCTTTGCGTGTTAGAGAAGACCCAGGTGTCTCTAGTAGCTTTCTCGTACGTTCTTTTTCTTCCTGAGTTTAAGACCAATCCGAAACACCAGGACTCAGAAAACGTGAGCTGTCTGGAGCCCTGGATTTGTGTAAGGCTCCCTGACAGGAAACTTTGAGAAAGAAATGAGCAAGTCCAAAGTAAGAAGTGAGCCAGAAGGGATTAAGCGCCATGTGTGTCCAGATCCCTGAAGGAAAGAAGGCTGCTTGGCAGCAGTGTTGAAAGCAACTCTGTCAGGCCCCTTCCCTGTGCCGGTCACTTCTACATGTGGCCTTGCTCAGTCCCTGTCCAACCCTTCCAGGCATAGGAGCTAAAGCTGCGGAAGCCTCCAAGGGCCAGAGAAGCCGCTCCCGGTCACGTGGCTCTAAGTGTCAGCGCTAGGCTTTGAGCCCAGAGCCCCTCCCTCCATCCACAGGCTGCAGGCTCGTTCTGAAGAGTTCAGCTCTCTTCTCTGGGTCCCATCTCCCCATTTGCACATCAGAAGCCTGCCCACCCTCCCCTGCCCTGTGTCCACTCCTCCCCACATGGACACATTCTTAGGCTAATGAAGTTGTCTGCCTCGCCCCTCCTGGTACAGGGAGCGGACAGGAAGAGGTCCCCACACCCTTGAGCAACCGCCCACCGGCCCACCCGACGTGGTTCAGAGCTAGGATGGTGGCAAGAAACAGAAGCACAGCCCCTTCACCTGGGGAGAAAAGATGGCATTCTTCAGAGCCCTCCAGACATCCCTTTTCGCACCTGCTCCCCACACTCATCCAGGCCCACCCTGAGCCTTCTCCATGGACCAAGTGTCCGTCTGTGCTCAGGACTGAGGTGGCAGGCAGAGACAGAAAGAAAGCTCTTGTCAGCCAGTAGCAGGGCTGGGCCTTGGGTCCCTTGGCCTCTGCTCAGCTTCCACCCAGGCCTGGCCTCCCCTTCTGGTTACCAGACAAACAGACCGTATGATGTCAAGCGCTGAGCCCAGGGCCTGGCGCCTGGGAAGCCTTCCATGGAGGCGCATTGTGTCTGTGATGCTCCGCATGCATTGTGGTGTCAGGGGCTGAGCTGTGCCCTGTACCTTGTCTCTAGTACCCCAGTCCTTCTCCAAGGAAGACCGGTCAGATGCCCAGTGATACTGAGCCAAACTCATAGAGACTGTCCCTGCGCCTCCGAGCCCCTTTGCCAGTAATTGCTTCATGACTGGCCCTTCGTGGTCACAGTGCTTTGTGGGAGCTATGGTGGGTTTGTCACCAGCCAGGAGATGTGATGCCTGCATCTCAGAAACAACACGAGAACAGGATATGGTAAGGATGGTTAAGGTTAGAAAGCCGCCTTGTGCTTGGGGTAACCCACCATCTCCCCCTTGATGACTCCAGAGCTGGCGGGTACCTTGAGTCCATCAGCTGCAGGAACCCTCCATTGGCCAGCAGAGAGAGAGGCTGCTCCCTGGAGGCCTAGCCCTTCGCTCTGCTGTGTGAGCTTCGGCAGGTATTCATCTCTTTGAACTAGTTTCCTCACCTGAAAAACGGGGATGATAGTGCTAGGCCTCCCACCGAACGGTGTTGGGAGTTACCCCAGACCATGGAGGCCCAGGCCCCCGGAACGGGCGCTGCCTGGAGGGGCCCTTGGTGGAGAAGGTCAGAGTGAGCACCCCCTCCACTCCTGGGCCCCGTGCTCCCTGCCCTTTCCCCTCCCCGCCACCCACAGGGGCAGCTTCAGCCCTTTGTTCCTACAGCACCTGTGCCTCGTCCCGAATGCCTACTGAAGTCACCTGGGCTTCTGGCTCCCAGGCAGCCCCTGGAATAGGGGTCCCCCTGTGCTCACCACGTCTCAGACAGTGTGGCCGTCCAGGGCCTCAAACCGCTCCCCCCCACCTGTACCCCGTCATGTGCTGGTGTGTATGAGCAGAGTCAGGGGGAGGAGCCCAGGAGGGTTGAGGCTGGGAACTTGCCCTTTATGGGGCTGTTATGTGGACAGAACAAAATCAAGACGTAACAGCGCACTGTAACCTCCGTGCGCTGCGCCCACCTCTGTTGGCAGCGATGCTGTATACGCAGGGGAGGGCTTGGGAAAATATCTACTCTCGGGTGTAGCAGATAAGGGCCCAGAGATGCAGGGGCGATGAGTGACTGAGGATACAGAGAAGATAAAGGAGGAGTCCATGGCTGTGCCGTCCGGGGCTTTCCTAAGCTGTAGAAGGAGGGGCACAGCATTTCTGCAGGGAGCCTGGAGAGAAGGCGTGTAACACAGGCCCGGGCCGGGACATGGCCTGATGGGTGCCCAGTCTTGTTTGGCTCAGCCTGGTAGCCACCTGGTTAGGGGGAAGCCAGCGATCCCCGCAGCTGCCCCTCTGTTGCCGTGGCCAGGCAGCCCCCAGCTTGGCCCTCCTAGTGCACTGTCCAGGCCTCAGGAGCAGTCCTGGAGGGAGGGTGTGGTGTGCTGTGGATGCTGAACCGGCCTTGGGGAGGCTGAGTGGCTTGCCCAAGGATGCACAGAGTTGGAGCAGCCACTGAGCCGGCGTCTGAGTGACCTCAGAGCCCTGCTGTGCCTGTCACACCACACCACTTCCCTCGTGGGAATGTGTAGCGGTACCGCAGGGCCCCTGGCTCCCTGCCTCCTCACATCCTCCTTTCCAGGTAGGGCCTCTGTCTCGTTCTGTGGAAGCCAGGGGCTGGTGGCCCCGCTATCAGAAGTGCTGACCCTCAAGGTGAACTCACAAAGGAGGGTGACAGAAACTCCCACTTTGAGGCCAGTTTTTTTTTTTCCTGTTTTTTGGTGTGTGTTTTTGTTTGTTTTGTATTTGAAGCCTATTTATTTATTTATTTATTTATTTTAATTTATTTTTTTTAAGTTCAGCAGGGCCACAATACTTATACTTTTTTTTTTCTTTTAAGATTTTATTTATTTATTTGAGAGAGAGAGAATGAGAGACAGAGAGCATGAGAGGGAGGAGGGTCAGAGGGAGAAGCAGACTCCCTGCCGAGCAGGGAGCCCGATGCGGGACTTGATCCCAGGACTCCAGGATCATGACCTGAGCCGAAGGCAGTCGCTTAACCAACTGAGCCACCCAGGCGCCCTGAAGCCAATTTAAAGACGATGAAAGTCAGCCTTGTCACCACAGAAAGGGCAGATTTTGTTGAGCGAGGAAGCTCTGGGTCCACGTGGCCTGGCTACCCTGGAAGCAGCTGCTCTCATGGGTGCATTTAGGCACGAGCGGGAGACAGTAGGGAGGCTCATGTGGGCCTGCGCAGCTGGACCAGAGTGTAGGGGACGTGCCACACAGCCCTGGAGGCACGAAGCACACGCTCCGCGCCTTGCCAGCTCACAAAGGACGACCCGCGGCCTCTGTGTGTCGCTGGTTCTCGTGCTGCTGTTGCCATCCTTGCAGCCCTCCCCCCCCGCCCAATGCACACTGTGCTGAGTGTATTTTGTACACGTCATCTCAAGCCCTCCCCTCGCCAGCCCCCAGAGGCGGTCCTGTTATGGCCCACGTTTCACCAAAACAAAAGCGGTTAAAGAGATTACCGACTGGTCTAGCCAACGAGTGAGAGCCAAGCCAGGATTCCACTCCGGTCAGTCCGGACCCCAGAGCCACACTGCTAAGCCGGATCTGGCCCACCGCCCTGTGCGCTCCCTT